CTCAATTAGAACCAGAGGAGATTAATAAGGTATTTAATGCAAAAAATATTATTTTAAGGAATTCAGTATATTTTGGGTGTGATACTAATGCTTCATTAAATACTTATTTTAGATTTATAAAACTGTTGTTGAAATGCCTGTTGTTAATGTTCAATTATATATACAAGGTTATTGGCCTGATAGTTCTGAAGTTCAAAAGGTTTAAATCCTAACAAATATATATTTTTGTAAAGGCTATTGTTATTAACTGTTTAATATTTTTAGAAATTGGTTAGAAATGGTGAAAGAATGGAAATATTAGGAAACAATGAATATACTTTAATAGTTGAAACTAAAATTTTAAATCGAGTGATTCCATCAAAAGCTCATGCTCCAAAATTTTCCAAACCTAAAGATATAGGTTGGTTTATGGTTCTTGGATCTATAGAAAATTGGGAGTTGATTGCATTAAAAAGAGCTACTAATAATCATTACAGAAGATCATCTAGTAGACTAGCATTTAGTACACCAAGCTTCTCAGGTAAGTACATTTGATGAACTGAGCAAATTATTGTTATAATTTTTCATATTTGAATTAATTAAGAAAAACACTGCAAGCAATCAATTTTTATAAAACAATATTATAGTAATTTTAATTCCCAGAATATATATACACGCAGGATTAGATAGAACAATATTTAAAATTTATATAATCACTGATTTTGTCCATTTTAGTCTAAGCAGTAATTTACTTAAATGTTAAAGATCTCTTTTTATTTGCTCATTACATTTTTAGTAGAGACTTCTTATATTAAAAAACTGTCATTTTAAATAATAAATTATTTTTAAGTGGAATAGTAGTGACACCTTTCTGTTCATTAGTAAAATGACTTCAGTTACTACTCTTTTTCATAAAAATGAATTTTTTTTTTTACTAAAATATCTGCTTATATAGTATATAATTATATTTATTATTATCAATAAAGTTATTATTTAAATTTCCTTAAATTTAATAACTATAATTTACATTGTTTATGAAACTATCGATTCATCTATGAAAAAGTAAATCAAAATTTTGTTTTATTCACAAAACTGTTAAAGTATCTTAATCAAAAATTATTCTTTGTACAAAGTTTGTGTTTTATTTTATAGGTAACATTAACTGGACGTTTTATATGATGTCTGATTGTTATCTTGGTCTAGATCAACAATATGAAATTGAATTGACTGTGATTTATAGTGATAAATAAAAATTTAAGCTTAAAATAGTATTGTTAATATTATAATTATACTATAATAATTGTTATTGTACTAAGTTGTTTCAGTATATATTTATTAATGTATTTGTACATTGATTTAAAATAAAATATTTAAATTATTTTTTTGACATTGAACATTGTTAATTGTAATGGTCTATAAATGATCCTTCTTTAGGATATATTTACAAATTAGATTAAATTCCATTGTACCAGGGTAAAAAGTGTGGGCAAAGTAACAGAATATTTTAGGTAAGATTAGGAGAACACCATGGTTTTGCTTTAAGCCCTTACTTATTTTCTATAGTGATGGATGAATTTACTAAAGAATTACAAGGAAAGGTATTGTGGTACATGTTGTACGCTAACATTATAGTGTTAATAGGAGAAAATAGGGAAGAAATTAATCAAAAGTTAGATGTGTGGAGATCAGCTTTTAAAGGAAAGGGATTAAGATTAAGTAGAAGTAAGATAGAGTTTATAGAGTACAAATTAGACAAAGGAAAACAAGAGGTAAGTGAAATGAAGAGATCAGTGACAATAAGTAAGGACATGATAAGACATATAGAAAGTTTCAAGTATTTGAGATCAATTAAAAAAAAAAATGGTGGTTTTGATAAGAAGGATGTAAGACATAGGATTATGTGCGGTTAAAACCATAAAAAAAACTGCAATTTAATACAAAATGTTTTGGACAATTAGGGAAATATGAATATCATATGAGACAAATTTATTTGTCTTATACTAATAAAAACAGTTTTGACTTATTCCTTTTTTCCTGAGAATTATAGTTATTAACTTGATTACCTATGTACATTGAAATTTTTTAAGAATTATATAAAAAAATTTTTAATTTTAAATTAAATTGGACAAGCTACAATCATAGATAGTCATTTTGATTATACCTAGAAACATAAAAAGAGGGATAATGCATTAAATGTGGAAGTTTTAAGATATTTTTGACGCATTACTGTTAAAAAAAATTATTATTAATAAGTACAATTTATATTTAATATATTATACAAATTTCTACAAGTACAAATATTTTTATATATACCTTATATGATTTTAGATGTTAGGAATAGCAAAAAAAAAAAACAAACCTTATCATAGTCCCTTTTTTTTTTATAAGAATAATGCCAATTAAATGTTTTTTTATCTAAGATGTGAAATTTCAAAATACATCTCTGATTAACCTAACCATTCTATTATGCTATATAACTGTTAATGTAGAAGTTTCACCTGTAGTTGTAATACAGAATGTTCTAAAAGTTTAATATGAAATTAGAAAATAAAGATTACACAGCAGTTTCTTTTTTTTATATTATATAATTAAAATAACAAAAATATACAAATTTGTATAACTAAATATAAATGACATACTATTATTTATACATATGTAGAAGCAATAGCTAATAATTTTGTATAATCAGCACCTTTAGCAATAGTTTTTTCTTTTAAAATTGTTCTTAACATAATTGGAATTGGAACATTTATACGTGTACCCAATGGTGTACCATTATCATCAATCAAAACAATATTATTACTATCAAATCTGGGTATATTGGGTTTTTGTTCTTTAACACAACCTACAATAATTGCTTTAACTTTTTCTCCTTTAATAGCAACCAATATTTTGTCCCCTATTGTACCAATACCTTTTTTATTGTAAATATGTATACAGCGAGGTGGTTTACCTTCAGCCATCGCTTGTTTTCCAATAGTACTATTATCAACCACACGTAATCTTGTTAGCTTCATAATATGATTACTAATGGGAGAAGTAGAAAATGGTCGGAAACAAACCGTAGTCTAAAGTAACGTATGTAATATGTAAGAATGAATACTAAATAAAAAAAGGTACAATATTGATGAAAAGTCTTACCATATTTGAGAAAATTAATACTTCAATAAGTAAATATAACAATAAGTTATAAATTTTCTTTTTAAATTGATAAGTTGAATTTACTATTATAGATTCTTGAAAAAATTCTCGGCAAGTAGCATTATATTTTACAACAAATTTATTCTTTACATATCTTTGAACTTATGTTTGATAAAAAATACCGTATTATTGTCATTTTCAAAGCTGATAAGGAAATTTTTTTACGAACCATCTAAATTGAACTTCAGTGTTCCACTGGTAGCACTGATAATACATTCTTCTATCATATTTTGTTTTTCGTTTGTTTTAGTTGTCTGACAATTTCAGCTTTAATAAAGTAGATATACTTTTTAAACCCACTTAATATTTCGGGTAGTATTTAGGCTTAAATTTCTGCGTTTATCAGGCTTACAGACTTTGTTTTGTTACGATTGAACTAGTCTAGGTAATGACTTTCGTAATAATTTTTATTAGTGTTACTTTTACTCCTTAATTTTGACTGTTTAATAAAAAATTATTATCGAAATAAAAATTTTGATTTTTAAATTTATTAATTATATTTATTAATAATTAAATGCCCGTTAATTTTTTTTTTTTTTGATAATAATTTTTTTGTTTACTATAACTAATCATTTAATTGTTATTAGATTTTTATATTTATTCAAATGAACGAGTCAAATGAAGAATGTTCTCCATTTAAGGATAGAAAAAAGAAGTGAGTGTTTTTTTCTTTATTTTCATTAATATTTTTAATCAAATTTTTAATTATTTGCAGAACCCATATGTCACTTAACGATAAAAAACGACTGGCTAGAGAAAAAGCAGAGCAGTATAATAGTAATGGTAGGCCCCTACGTCAATATCATATGCTTACTGCAGAAGAGGTGAAACAAGGGAAAGAAACTCATTGGGAAGAATTAGAAATAATTGGTAAGTTAATAATCAATTAATTAAAAGTAAATTAAGAGTATATATATTTTTTTACTAATAGGCTGTGTTAAAAATATAAGTCCATCCTTATGGCAATTGACATCCTTAACTGGTCTTTATTTAAATGATAATCAATTAACACGCTTACCTCCTGATATTTCAATGCTTGTAAATTTACAATATCTCGATTTATCTGGAAATAAATTAAGGAGTTTACCTGCTGAACTTGGTGAACTAGTATACCTAAGGTAACTAATTATATTTTATTTTTTTAGTACTTGCTTAATATATCACATTTTTTTAGAGAGTTACATTTAAGCTATAATATGTTGAGATCACTTCCACAAGAGTTGGGACGATTGTTTCAATTACAAGTTCTAGGCTTAGCTGGTAATCCTTTATGTCAAGAACTTTCAAAAATTTATAGTGAACCAAATGGCACCCATAGATTACTCATGTACTTATTGGATAGCTTACAAGGTAAGTAAATTATTTTTTTAATTTTAATTTTCTTTTATAGATTCAACAATTTTCTAAAATAACAATTTATAGATTTAATATTATAATAATATAATAAATATTTTAAATTTGTTGAAAAATCCAGTTAAATGAAATTTTAAAATTAAAAATATCAAAGTTTTTAAAATGAATCAATTGAAAAATATATTTTTAATATGGTACTAGTTAAAAAATAATGTTTTCAGTTAGTAAAGATTTTGATTGAGTAACTGTTTTAAACCACTCAATGCATAACACTATTCAAAATACTTGATACTGAAAAATCAATCTTTTCTTAGAATTTTCTTGTAGGTAGCGTGGCCGAGTGGTCTAAGGCGCTGGTTTTAGGCACCAGTCCGAAAGGGCGTGGGTTCGAATCCCACCGCTGCCATGCAAATTTTGCAAATAATTTTGACCTAAACATATTATAGCATAGAAATATTACATGACTTCTTTTAGTTCTTTGTATAAAATGTAGAATTTTCAATTTCTGTTTGAGTTAAAGCTTTTGTAAAAATGTGATTTGGTAAATTATGAATAACAGACATTAATTTATCTTATTATGATAAAAAACAATGTTTACTTCATTTTCATAAAAATATTCATCACTAATGTTTCAGTGTTGATTTTTTAATGAATTCTAGTATGATGTCATTTAGTTAATTTTGAAAAAATGTATAATTGTATTTGTTTAGTTGTTTATTAGTATGAAAAATTGAAAATAGCATAAACATGAAAATTATAGTAATTTTTATTTTACAATTAAAATACAAATTTATCAATCTAATAATAGTTCATTAATTAAACAATAAAAAATCATTATTTTAAAAAGCACTACTTTAAATTAAATTGAAAATAATATTTTTCTCTTTATTATTTCATTAATACTTAAACTACTAATAGTAGAATTATTCTTATATTTTATTAATTTTGGAGTGTTACAATAATTTATAAAGCTTGTGTTTAAAAAAAATATTTTATAGTTAATAATAAATACAAATATTTAAAAAACAAATTTTTTTGAGGAAATGTATAAATGTATAAATTACAAAATGAAAATAGATATTTAAACCAGAATATCAGTATGTTTTTTTTGAAAACATTTTTAAATAAACAACTAAAAGACTTGCAAAAACTTGTGTAAAATAATAGAGTTATCTTGTTTTTGCAATCAACCCATCAATTGTTAGAACATTTCTTATTTTTGCCATGATATTAAAGACTATTTTTACAGTCATTAAACCTACTAAATATTTTTGAATAATTTTATTTTATATATGTTGTTATCCAACTGTTTTATAATGTACTCCTAAAATTTACTTATTCACTTATTAATGAGTTGAAATAATTTAGGTCTACATTTTAATTTAAATTGTTTGATAATCAATTAAACAAACATAATTAGTTTGAAATCGTTAACTACTAAAAAGTATAACTTCTCATAAGTCACCATGTTGTTTTAATATTTTGACAGTCAGAAAGCAAAAATATTATTATTTTCAAATAATTGTTTGTAAATTTAGTAGTATAACTGTAACATTAAATAATTATTCTTATTTTTTAAATAATTAAGCACAAATAAAATTGAATAGTAATGTTTGGTTATGTACTTCATTAAATTGATTATATGTTTAAAAGTATTTTTGTTATAATATAATTATAAATATACTTATTATATTTTCATAATGTTACATAAATTATTGTAGATTGATTATTGTTAAATATTGTTGTTTCGGTGCCGTCGAATATGAAGGTAGCGTGGCCGAGTGGTCTAAGGCGCTGGTTTTAGGCACCAGTCCGAAAGGGCGTGGGTTCGAATCCCACCGCTGCCATCTACATTTTTAGTGCTTTTTTCTTCTTTTTTTTAATTCCTTTTGCTGTGCTGAATAATGAATACTTTTGTTTTAATACTGATTTTGAAAATATATAGAAAATATTTTTCTTCTCTTGGTTAGTTATTGAGTTAATTTAATTTTTGTTACTTTTTAGATTATAACTAACATTTTGCTTATTCATTATCGTCCTCAATATTTTTTACCAATAAGCTTACCGTTTTTAAGTAAAAGACTCATTTTTGTGTCTTAGTACATTTGAAATCATATTCCATTATTCATTATTAGTCATAGTAATTTTTATAAATTAAAGAAAAATGAATACAACATTTTCCTAATAAGCAAATAATATTTCTATTAAGTATAAATATTATAATAATATTTATTTTATTTTGCGTGTTTCTCACTGAAGAGCAACATTTCTTATTATTTAATACATTATTTTACCTCCAATAATGTGTTCTGAAGATTGACCGGATTTAAAAGTAGGGCCTGTAGCGAAAACCTTTGATTTTATGTATGATTGTTTCATGTCATTATTTCCACCAATATCTTACAATGGGCTTATTTATCTTAAACCGTGTATGTGTTTAATGATCCGCTACAAAGTTGGGTCAATCCGTGACTTATCTGATGAAATAACGTTTTTTACGGGAATTTCACCCAATATCTTTTGGCAACAATTGACGTGTCATTAACAATCGGCATTGATCTATTTGAGGAAAATATTGTATATCATTCAGTTTTGTTAATAATTGAATATTTTCGTAACACTGCAATATATATTTGTACGTTTTTTTTTTTAGAATCGCTAATTACTAGAGCAATATATATTGTCAAAAAAAAAAAAAAAATCTGATAAATTTTACTGTAATTGATTATATTTTAGGTTTGTAAAGTGTTACAAAACATATACACTTATATTTAGTCTGAGATCTTAAATTAGAGTTAAAATATAAAATTTAGCGTATAATGAATAAAATAATAGAAATTTATTTTTAACATATAAATAAATATACTGAATACTTTTAAAGAAAAATTTGCGTGGGGGATAATAACAATCAATGTATGTATGCTGTTATGTTAATCGTTACTATGTATGTTTAATGCCATCAAATTGATTTTCAAAACATAAAATTTTTGTCAAAAACAAAGGTTCTCAACTAATATGGTCTATTAACTGTAGTAGTTCTTCACTGGTTTACTTTTTATACACTTTCATTATATACATTTCTTTATTTCAATGTATAATTATACATCGAGTATAATATTAAATTTTATTTTTTTAGCTAGATTCTGTATTACTCATAAATGTATAAATTAAAATTAAGATACTTGTAACATAATGATACTCACACATTTAATTAATTTAATCAATCTGAGATGTAGTTGTATACTAGAAAGTTTCAAGCTGATTGAGATTAGATGCTATATAACCTCCCAGAAAGTTATTTGAATAGCTATAAGCTATTCTTATGATAATTATATAGAATTCTTAATTTACATCAGTTTATAATTTTTAATTAAGTTAATTAAATGGTGTTATGATTTACATGTAAANTATGTATGCTGTTATGTTAATCGTTACTATGTATGTTTAATGCCATCAAATTGATTTTCAAAACATAAAATTTTTGTCAAAAACAAAGGTTCTCAACTAATATGGTCTATTAACTGTAGTAGTTCTTCACTGGTTTACTTTTTATACACTTTCATTATATACATTTCATTATTTCAATGTATAATTATACATCGAGTATAATATTAAATTTTATTTTTTTAGCTAGATTCTGTATTACTCATAAATGTATAAATTAAAATTAAGATACTTGTAACATAATGATACTCACACATTTAATTAATTTAATCAATCTGAGATGTAGTTGTATACTAGAAAGTTTCAAGCTGATTGAGATTAGATGCTATATAACCTCCCAGAAAGTTATTTGAATAGCTATAAGCTATTCTTATGATAATTATATAGAATTCTTAATTTACATCAGTTTATAATTTTTAATTAAGTTAATTAAATGGTGTTATGATTTACATGTAAAATTTTCAATCGGATTTCAAAAAACCAAAAATTGATTTCTGTGATATACTTTCTAACAAGATATAAAAATTATATAAAAAAATCTTAGGAAAAAAATTGGTGCGTTACTCAGATATTGACATAATTCAAGTTAGTGACTAAAATTTAGATTACTTTACTTGATCGTATCAATTCGACTATCTTAGACATCTTTCAGACAAAAAATAAGGTAATCCTGTTAGACCACACTTATGTTTTTATGAAAAACTAGTGAAAAAAGTTAAGACTTATTCATATGGAGTTTGTAATTTTAATTTATTAAATATTATAAGTAACATCTCTGTGCACTTGTTACGATGTTCGTGTTTAATTAAACTTGACAAATTCATTAAAGTCGAAACTTAAAGTCATTGAATCAAATGTTTTTTCTTTGAAATTTTGTTTTTAGAAAACTCGGTGAATATGTGCTCTTTATATTAAGTAAAATGTTTTTACGGCACNTTACATGTAACATTTTCAATCGGATTTCAAAAAACCAAAAATTGATTTCTGTGATATACTTTCTAACAAGATATAAAAATTATATAAAAAAATCTTAGGAAAAAAATTGGTGCGTTACTCAGATATTGACATAATTCAAGTTAATGACTAAAATTTAGATTACATTACTTGATCATATCAATTCGACTATCTTAGACATCTTTCAGACAAAAAATAATGTAGTCCTGTTAGTCCACACTTAAGTTTTTATGAAAAACTAGTGAAAAAAGTTAAGACTTATTCAAATGGAGTTTGTAATTTTAATTTATTAAATGTTATAAGTAACATCTCTGTGCACGTGTTACAATGTTCGTGTTTAATTAAACTTCATTTAACAAATTCATTTAAGTCGAAACTTAAAGTCATTGAACAAATGTTTTTTCTTTGAAATTTTGTTTTTAGATACTTGGTGAATATGTGCTCTTTATATTAAGTAAAATGTTTTTACGGCAGTTTTATATTTGCTATAATAATTATGTGCTAAAGATGGCACACGAAACCTTCAAAATCATAGTAATAATGTCGATAGAATAATACTGTCCGTAGTAACTTTCTCAAATGTGATGGAAGTAAAAAAT